GAATACTCCGCACGTGTAAAGATTTTTATCAATCGCTTTCTTAAAATTATCAGTTATCTCCACTATAGCATGTTCTGTTGATCTGCCTTTTCGAAAACCAAATTGAAATTTACTTAAAATGTTATGTTTTTCCAGGTAACCCAAAATTTGTGAGTACACTAACTTTTCGAAGATTTGTGCAAAAGAGTATAACGTAGAAATAGGTCTAAAATTTGATGGGTCAGTGATATCACCACCTTTATCTACCGGCGTTATTCTAGATATCTTTAAAATGTCAGGCATAATTCCCTGTTCAAGAGAGTTGTTGAACACCGCTGTAAGTACATCACTAATGTGATCAGCAGCAAGTTTAATACATTTTTGTGGGATATCAATTGATGATTTGTTGGTTTTTAGTCCATACAACATGTGCCGCACTTCGTGAACACATATTGCACGGAACATAAAACTGTCCTTAAATGACCTTCTAATAAACTGAACCGGATTTTTATCATTGCAATCAGGTATTTGAGCAGCAAAATCTGGACCGACATTTATGAAGTGCGAATTAAGTTTATCACATATATCTTGTTTAGCAGTATAGCATCTATTTTTATAGAAGAGTTTATTTGTAAAGATTGTTGGTTTCTTTTTCATATTAATTAACATACCAATTAAGCCCCAAGTGGCTTTAATATTTTGTTTATAAAGGTTAAATTGAGCAATAAAGTAGGTTTTCTTTGCTAGTTCTTTTAATTTATTGAGTTTATTGTTATATCTTTTGTATTGGTTTACTTTCTCTGGATCTCTACTGAGAAAGTGAGATTTGAACATTTTTTGTCGTCTTTTTATTGATAATAATAAACCCTTTGATAGCCAAGGCTTCTTTAATAACCTTTGTTGGGCATTAGAAGTTTTCCTAATTGGGGCATGTTTATTAGTGACCTCTTTTAAAGCATTTGTAATATCATTCATACTTTGATTAACGTCTGTGCTAACAAAATTATTAAAATTTATTTTATTGAGATCATCAATAAATAGTTCATTGTTAAATTTAGAAAAGTCTCTATAGTATTTCCTTTCTTGTATAAATGGAAATTTGTTTTCAATTGTACAAAAAACAGGCAAATGATCTGATATACCCACAAGGCAGACACCAGATTTAACCACTTTTTGAGGACAATTTGTATAGATATGGTCAATGAGTGTGGCAGTATGGTCGGTAATTCGGGTAGCTTTAGTAATTATTGGCAAAAAACCGAGATTGAGTAACATGTCAAGATAATCGGATGTTTTATTGTCTGTATGGTATTTTAAAAAGTCTATGTTTATATCACCTGTTATGTAAACCTCACAGTTTTCATCAGTTAATAAGTTTAATTTTGTCTCGATAGCTTCGTGAAAAGTCTCGCGATTTTGCGATGGGTGCCTATAAATGCATCCGATGACTACGTTTTTTTGTTTAATTCTTTGGATTTCAATCCAACAATTTTCAACACCCTCAGTGAGAGCAAGATCTAAATCATTTCGTCTGGTAAAATTAATGTTCTCTGAAATATAAAACCCAACACCTCCCGCTGAAGTTTTAGAGTTCACTCCCAAAAAAATATAACCGGGAATTCTAATATTATGATGACTATCTTCGGCAAGCCTCGTTTCAGTAATTGCAATAATATTCGGCAACTCTTTTACCATTAGCAGCACATCATTTAGTAAACTTAGATTTTTAGGTAGACTACGGATGTTGCAATGTAATATCGAGAAGCCTTTATGCCTAACATTTGAAAACCTATTCCCAAATTGTTTTATAGTATGATATTTAGATTCAATAGAATCGTAGATTAAGTTTTCATTACAGTCATTTGCTTTGTCAGGGCTTTCAACAATATCTTTAAACAGATCTTTAGATCTCGCATACAAGTTATCAATTGAATTATACACCCAGGCTCCTATTTCTTTTGTAAATTGCTCATCCGTAAGATTATAGTAGGGTAATTCACTTAACATAATAATAGCACTATTAAATTTTACAGGTAATTGCACTGCATATATAAGATTTCATTAAAGCATTACCACAAAAGAAAATGCTAATATTAATTTCAAAGGTTTTGACAAACACACCCAAATAAAATACACTTAGTAAAGTTTTGCAAAAGATATGCATGTTGGAAGGAGAAAAGTAATACCAATAGGCTAAATATACCTTTATTACAAGATCGTACATAATGCCAGTTTAGCCGAGTGCCTGAAAATGTTGTTGAAATTTAGCAAGGTCATCAGCAGTGTCAAAAGCATAGCGTTCGGTTGTAGCTTCGTTCTTCTTTATGTAAATTCGTCCGTTATGAGACCAGATAAACTTCCATTTAAACTTTTTTCGAAACTTATTAATATCGCCATATAGCTTCTTTCTTCGAGGGGTAAGCGATTCTGAAATATATATACTATCTCCAACTAGAAATTTTCTGACATGTGGATTATCTTTGAGGTTCTTGCCAGCAAGAGTTTTTCTTTCAGCGTAGAATTTGTTGCGTACATTTCTGCGAGTGAACTTCACAATTATTTTCGGTAAGGCATCTTTATTGAACGTATAGGTAATGGGTGGGCGGTTGAAATGTCTTTTTCTTCGATGTTAACTTTCAATACTTTGCCAATACTCTCTACGATGGCTTCGCTACTGTATTCTGCGTTTGGTTTCACTCCTGAAATTTCAAGACAGTCTCTTCGCAGGTACTGTGCTAGCTCGTCGGATTCCCCTTTTGCTTCGAGAGTCATATCTCTGTTGATTTTAATGTCTGCTTGAATGGTTCTAGTTGTTTTTGTAAGCCCTGTTATTTTCTCGTTAGTGGTCTTGGAATGTTCTAGCAGTTGATCGTATTTTGTCGATAAGAATTCTAAGGACGTGGTCATTTGTTTGAGGTTTCCTTCTACCGCAGCAAGCTTAGCGTGAACAGGCGCCAATTCTTTCTTCAATACTTCCTCGATTTGAGCTATTTCTGCCATGTTAACACGTTGATATACAAACACAAGTACAAACAAGGTCGCTATAAAAGATATTTTATTCGAAGAAACAAACATACATACATATACTGATCAGAACAGGAGCTTCCAAATAAGCTCCTCACATCACGACGATCAGTCACAGGAATATTCTATGAAATATGAATAGCTATGAAATATGAATAAGTCTATATGAAATATGAATAGCTATGAAATATGAATAGCTATGAAATATGAAATATGAATAGCTATGAATAGTCTATGAAATATGAATAGCTATGAAATATGAATAAGCTATTCACAGGAATATCTTATAAAATATGAATAGCACTGGATCGGAGAATTGATAATGAATTAGTATACATAAAAAAGATAATAAATAATAAATATAAGGAAAGATAGACCACATCCTCAAAAGTTGGACAATCAATGATTCTAATAAATGATTAAATAGGATTAAAGGAATATTTAAATTAAATTAGCATGCAGCTCAACTAAGATTACTATACTGTTGAATTATACCATTTTTCAAATCCACATTGAATCCAATTTTTGTAAGTTTTTTAGCGGATTCACTGAGCGAATTCCAAGTCTTTGCTCCAATAAACCTTATATTAAATTTTCCATAATTGGTCCTTATTTTTGGAATTGAATATGATGACCCAGAGGCAAGTCTTGTATCATGGCTATGTTTTATGTCTAGAAAAAAGGTGTCAAATGATGTTGGCAATATTCCATAATGGAAGTCGTACATAAACATAGCAGTGACTACTCATGTTGTGCGAATAAGGGTTGTTGTTTCCAGCTGTTCATATGGAGCCAGGCAGGTCCGGTTAACTTGTGATGAATTATTTAATTATAACGAAGTGGTTATTCATACTGGAACAGTATGTTGAGTTTGATTTGCTATTCGTACTGCAGTCGGAATATTTAAGATAAACAGACCCCAAAGCCTTCTCTAACCCTAACCAATAAATGTCTAATAAGCAATTTGAGAGTTTAAAAAAAGTTGGGGTAAAAATTTAAAAAGTATTTTAAGAAAAATTTCTAAGTCAAACAGAAAACCGTAGGCTAAACCGGACCCAACCTTTTTTCACTTTGCACACATGCAACGCCTTTGCCTAATATGCTATCGACAAGCTTGCTGAAAGCTGTTGCAAAAAACTAAAGAATCAGGTGCCATACTCCAGTACGAATAGCCACATGAAGCTCTTATTGCGGCTTTGATAGACATCTGAAATGACCATTTATGGTCGGGAAAACATTTTCATGACAGGATTCTTCCTGGCTCATATGAACAGCCCCTAAGCATACAGCCAAAGCATAGGGTTGTGATCAAGATCAAGGAGCAATATGTAAATGCACAAAGGATTCAAAGAGCTACATATACCTGCACTGCGTATTTGAAAGTATGACTTTTTGACCCCCAGGACATAGTACCAGCTGGGATGTTAACATTTCTTTATTATTAATCCCCATCTATTTTTCCTGCAATAGGTAGTCATTGCCTGTTAACAGCCCAGGTCCCGCCGACCCCACTAGACAGTCAATACAAAATAGTCATAAATATTGAGGCATGTGTCTGATCTGATAAGTATACACTTTAACCAATCAAATTACATTGCACTCTAGTGTATGCAGACAAGCAATGCTTCCATGCAGGCTTTTAGCCAGGGTCCTAAAAGAGGACGTCCAATTTTGGTACAACAATACATCCACAGTAAGGGTCAGTTCCTCTGGAAAACCTTTGAGGTTTACGTTACTTCATGTCAGTATCTGTTCCAAGCTCGTTCGAAATTTTTCAGACACACTTGGCTTTGTGAGTTTGTGCCACTATGCTTCTTTACTTGCCTACGGCATTTTCATTAAGCAAGGTACACCATCAAATTGATCAAAATGTCAAATGTATTATAATAATGAGAATTGAAGCTATTTCGTTTCAGGTATATTAATATACTTACGGAAATAATTGAAAATAATTTCCCTTTCTCCCCAGAATTTGTGCGTCCAAAAGCGTCCATGTTTTGTTCTAGGGGCGTCCCAGGACGCCTAGACGCCCTTCTGGCTAAAAGCCTGCTTCCATGTATGCAGAACATTATAGAGAAAAGGAACACTACATATAATTTAAGAAATGAGAACAATGTCATTGTTCTGCACTTGGAAACTTACTTTATGTTCTATTCTATGCATGCAGAGGAGCCGTTATCTGAGGGCCCCCTATACCTCTTCACAATATGCTTTCACGTAAAAATATTTTGCCTTTTCACGAGTCATGGATTAAGAAAATCATCGATCACGTTTCATGGCTAAGTAAAATAAGCCCTTCACGCAAAAAGTATCTGGAATTTACTTAGCCCACCAAACAATGCAGCCAATGTAAAGGCCTATAAAATTATAGTTTGGAAGTCTCACTGGCCCTGAGGGAGCTGCGTTTCTTCAGTGAGTCACCAGCGACATCTGGGAATATTGATTCAGACTTAATATATTTTTAATTATAAGCAATGAACAAATATATAATTACATACATAAAATTGTAGGTAATTTATATATATGTGTATGGCTGCATGTGTTCACTTGAATACGTCAATACAATGTTCTTGTCATTGATTGCTCGTAAAGTTGAATATAAAATGATATTAAGGAAATTATACTTATTCTCAAAGTATCAATGAAAAATCACACTTGTGTTTGGTAAAATATTTATAATACCACAAGTGCGAATTATAAATATTTTGCCAAACATGCATGCAATTTTTCATCAATACTTCTCCGGCCATGTAATTTTGTATACATATTTAACAATTATTCACCAAAATGGAGGTGAATAGCAGGGTGTGATAATTCGAGATTTGTAGTTGTACCTGATTGGTACTCCAATGATTATTGTCGCATACTTGAGCTGGTACAAACTTAATACTCAAGGTGTACTTAGTCTTTAAAATGAAGTACATAAAGTACAGGTTTCTAAAAGATATTCATTCAGTAACCTGAAACTACGACGAGGTCGACAATTACATATACAAACACTAGAATTGACTCAAACGCAAACGCAAACGCAAACACAAACACTAGAATTGTCTCAAACATTTCTTAGTCTGATCAATTCAGTCCTGTCTCATGCCAAGACATGTCAGACGTACCTATATACAATTACGTACACGGTTTTGAACATCTTGGGCTTCGTAAGGTCCAGCAAAAATGCAAGGTACTGGTACCAGCAAAATGCAAGTGCGCAGATAGCAAGAGTTCCACGTACCTATGTGGTACTTGGTTGAAAACAAAGAAGTACCAGACCGTCATATTGGCGTACCTCCGGTACGAAAATAAGAGAATTATCGCACCCTGAATAGTGCAAAGGTATTTACCTCGACAAGAACAGTAATTTTATTCATTAGAAATAGCTTTACAGAATACCTCTAAACATTGTTACATTTTGGTTTTGATCTGAAGGGGAATAGTGCAAGGATACAGCTGAATTGAGCAACCAATCAATTTACATGAAAAGTACTATCCACCTCCCGAGTATTAATACATTTCATTGCATATTACCCAGCACTGAAACAGCTGGGATTATATTCTTGGTTAAAAATCTTGCATCAAGAAAATTGAAAGGCCTTTGCCCAGTACTTTTGAAGTGGAGGCCAGGGGTAAAATGCCCCCTGCGCCCCGCCCCCTCTCGGCGGCACTGTCTATTTGTAAACTGAGCTTGATACTCCAGCTAGTCAGTACATAACTGATATGCATGACAGTCTAGATCCATAACTGATATGCATGACATTATTCCTAACTTCAAGGTGTAGCTGTGGTCATTGTGAAATTATGGTTGAAGCAGAAGAATGTGTTTGTTGTCAGGAAATAACTGAAATAATGAACAGAAACACCGAAGTTTATGAGAAGGAAAAGTTGAATGAAAAACCAACTTGCATCACTGAAAGCCCACCTTTTGAAACAGTCTGTCTAAATCATTGGGTCCTGAAAGTTGCAGAAATAGCATATAAAGAGGAACATGGCAAAAAGGTGATGAAAGGTTTGACAGAAAGCGAAAAGAAGCGAAAACTTGCTTGTCGCCAGTTAGTTTGGTTTTGTTGGGGGACATGTGGCAAAGAAATCTTAGTGAACCTGCCATCATGTGCACTTCTTTCTATAAGAGCACGTTTTGCACCATCTGATGGGTAGTAGAGATGTCTAATTGACATGCATGTGTGTGCTCAATTGTTGATGTTTATGGGATGCGGACTTATAAGAAAAAAATTATCTATGAAATGTTACATAGAAACATTGTAGTGACGCACTGATACCTGTAAAATATCGGGATTGTTTGGCCGATGTTATTGGTATTGTATTATTATAACAAATTTATACAACATATTTTAAATTTTAACTACTTGTTAAAACATGAGCAGCAGTTTTTTATCAGATATATGAAGATACGAGGCGAAGACGAGTATCTTTAGGTCATGATAAAACGCGCACTGCGAATGTTTTAAATTGCTTCAAAAACGATCGTCTATAGTTCATTTTCTCGGCTTAGACAATGTTTATTTTTAAAATTACTTCGCCAATCAACTCATAAGATGGGTCATAAGATTTTAAAAATAAAAGACCTTTTTGGGAGACCTATGGTGCAAATCTGTAACTAGGAGTTACTATCGCAGGGAAAGTGCTGCCTTTTTGCCACATGAACTGAATGCAAAAGTTTGTATTTCTAGACAATTCTCTAAAGGGAAGTTTACCTTTGACCCAATGGCATTATTTCCACGATTCATCACAAATTTATGACGTCGTGTTGGCTGCAAGCTCTTTAAAATGGTTGAATATCACTGCTATCATCCAAGATGATAATTTCAAACTTCGCTCAGTGGTAAATATGATGAAATACTGGAGAAAAACGTGAACTGATATCAACAGTTTTTACAGTTAATGCATTTATAACCAGTACAGTGTATTAAAGTTGAGCTTGCAACCAACATGACGTCATAAATTAGCGGACATATTCACTCTCATTTACATATCAAACAAATTGAAATATCTCGGGAACAAACCATAAAAACAAGAAACTGAAAAATAAGTTGCACTACAACTTAAAGAGTTCTTTCATCACACTTTAATTATAATATAGCATTTGTAAATTCAGAACGCTGATTGGCTAAGAGCCGCAGGGCCTTTTTTAAGGATTTTCCCGTGGGGGGGGGGCATTTTTTGAAAAGGGACCTTTCTGTGAGAGGGGGATAGAAATGGCTGAAGGCCACGTGTGTGGCCAATATACCACGCATGAATGGGGGGTCTGGGGCAGTACTCCCCCAGAAAATTTTTAAATTTTGAATCTCGGAAATGTCATTTCCTGCATTCCGAGCATCCAAATTTGCTCCAAAATTTATGCTAACTATACTTATATTTGAAATAAATAAAGGAAAAAACGCACAAAAAGTAAAAAAAAATAACCATAATTTATCATTACTTATTAGAGGAGGATAGCAATGGTCAGGTGTGTGGGGGTGTACTTCCCCCAGAAAATTTTTGAAATTTGAAGCACGGAAATGCCATTTCCTGCATTCTGGGCATCCAAATTTGCTCTAAAATTTATGCTAACTATACTTGTATTTGAAATAAAAGATGGAAAAAATGCACAAAAAGTAAAAAAGAATATTAACTGTAATTTATCATCACTTATTAGAGGGATAATGCTCAGAAAATTTTTGAAATTTGAAACCCGGAAATGCTATTTCCTGCATTCTGAGCATCCAAAAAATAAAAAAATTATTAACAATAATTTATCATTACTTGGTGGTGGAAAAAAGTTACAATTTAAATCGATTTTGTTAAACAAGGACAAAGGATAAAGCCTAAAACTTACTTTCCGTTATGTATTTGTTTGAATCTTCGCTGGTTTGTTTGTATAATTTTAGGGAAAAGGGACTTTTCCTGGGGGGGGGAAGGAGGGGCAAAATGTGATTTC